CTCTTAGTTCCATTCTATATTGTCTTGGGTGTCAGCAGCAGGACAGCTGTGAGGGGGAAGGGAACATACTGCATGTAAGGTGATCTCAATCTGGGAATGAGGTCACCAAGTGATGGCCCAGTTAAGGATGCATCTGAATAAAAAAAAGCCCCCATAACATCTGGAGATGAAAGCCTCACTTTTAAGCCTGGAGGTCACTCAAGTCCAGATCTGCCTGGTAACCTGAGAAGATTCTTTATGAGCCTGTTTTAATGGTATGGGAACTGGGCCTTGTCTGGATGGTTCCTCCAGAATACATAAGTAGAAAGAATATGGGCTTCTAAATCCAACAAACTGATGGGTGCAAATCTCACCTTTATCCTTAGTAACTGGATAAAATCAGACCCATTCTCATCTGTAAAGTGAAGATGATAACATTAGCTCAGAAGTGTTTCTGAAATATCTCACATGGAAGTGGCCAGTAAGACACCAGGCTCAATTATTTCCCTACCCTCAACCTTTCACTGCTCTTCTCTCCTCTCTTTTGCAGCCTGGTGGCTACTAGAACACAGTTAAGTACTAGGTGCCAGTTATTATTATTAACTGAAGAATCCTGGGGTGCAATAGTGACCAAGGAGCCAACAGGAAAGGGCATGTTGCAGAAAGGATTCTGCCTTGGGAAGCTACAGGTGCATCTTCCCCAAAGAAAATTACCACCCAAAGACCAGGAGGTAGCCCCAGCATATGGCACACAGGCCTTTGCAGGCACGCAGAAATACAATGCAGTCTCTCTGTACAAAAGAGCCAGCATTCATGGGAGCAGAAAAAGGAAAGGGAGGCATTTTAAATATGATCAAAATGTAGTCTGTTAAACCACTGCTCAAGAGTCTGTAGTAACTAGCAATTAAACACAATTTTTAGTCATGTTTAAAAAAGAGAAGTTTTTTGCTAACAACTTTTGAATTTTGGTCTAATTAAATTTAATCAAAAATAGACATTTCTAAGTCACACATGTGTAAATACCGAATAGTTTCTCTGGTGTGAAAAACTATAATAGTACACAAGATCCTAATGAGACAATTAACAATGTGAAATAGGAAGAAAAGGGCTAAAGGTGTAGGGAAAGTGGGAAGGGTAGGGGAAAGGGAATAAGGGAAAAGGAAAAAATATGAGAAAATGAAAAAATGGAAATAAAGTGTTTGTAAATGGCAAGGGGAGGATGAGGTGAAGAGAGGGTAGGGACAAGGGGAAAAAATGAGAACCAAGACCTGTCATGTAAAAGTACAAGATCCCATAGGAAGAAAAGGGCTAAAGGTGTAGGGAAAGTGGGAAGGGTAGGGGAAAGGGAATAAGGGAAAAGGAAAAAATATGAGAAAATGAAAAAATGGAAATAAAGTGTTTGTAAATGGCAAGGGGAGGATGAGGTGAAGAGAGGGTAGGGACAAGGGGAAAAAATGAGAACCAAGACCTGTCATGTAAAAGTACAAGATCCCAATGATGAATGTATATGTGCTGTATACCTAAAATGTACCAATAATAGACATTTCAACTAAAAGGAGCAGTTGAGTTAGTCGTATTTCTATTTTGATGGAAAATTCAGTAATATATCTTTTTGCACTGAGACCAACAGGCCTAAGCATTTCTAAACCAACATTATTCCTCATCTGGCCACCAATGTGTTAACCAACCTACTACCAGATGCTGAGAGAGAACTGTTATGGATAGGGTTGTATTCCAAAAGGGTGGTGTGCTATCCCTGAGAATAACTATGTGTGGCTGGGCCCAGGGCTTCCTCCTTTTGGTTTCCAGGCCTAGCTGTTTCCCCAACCTGGAATTTTTCCCTTCAACTTTCCTCCTCCACACTTTCATATAAGGGATACTCACTCTGTAGATGTCCTCTAAGACATGACTTCCTCTAGGAAGCATTCTTATTCTACCAAAGTTGGGTTAGGGACATTGTGAGCTCCCAAAATGGCCTGTTCTCTTTCCATTTGGGCACCTATCATACTGTACTGCAAGTCTCAGTTAGATATGATTTTTTTCCCAGAGAACAAGGACAATGTCTAGAAACATTTTTCAAGTGTTAAAACTGTGCTAGAATTACCAGACCCCTACAATCATGTAAATTTTTACAGATATTCCTTGTTTAATGACCAAGTTGTATTCCTGTGACCAGGTCATTAAAATGAATTGGTCACTAAGTGAGAAACTGGATATAGTATGTACATGACAACATTCAGAAAAAGAAATGGTCAAAGGAAACTTCAACTTGACTTTGCTTTTATTTGTGTAACATGTACATGCAGTACTGTAATGTATAACAAAGCTATATACCGTGCTATACAATATAAACAGCAAAAATTACAGTATTATATAAACAAAACAAAGTGTGGTATATTTTAAAAAAGGACATTAAAGCTCTATAAACAAGATGTTTAGAAATATATATATAT